GGGCTGCGCCCCCCCCCCCCCCCCCCCCCCCCCCCCCGTATTGAGCAGGGGGAGAGAATTGAAAGGAAAAAGGTAAAACTCGTGGGTTGAGATAAGAACAGTTTAATAGAACAGAAAGGAAGAAACTGATAATGATAATAACAACAACAATAATAAAGTGACAATAATAATAATAAAAGGATTGGAATATACACAAGTGATGCACGTTGCAATTGCTTACCATTCACTGACCAATGCCCACTTAGTTCCCGAGCAGTGATTCCCCCCACCCCACACGAGGCCAACTCCCCCCAGTTTATATACTGGGCATGACATCACATGGTATGGAACACCCCTTTGGCCAGTTTGGGTCAGCTACCCTGGCTGTGTCCCCTCCCAGCTTCTTGTGCCCTTCCAGCCTTCTTGCTGGCTGGGCGTGAGAAGCTGAAAAATCCTTGACTTAGTCTAAACACTACTTAGCAAGAACTGCAAACATCAGTGTGTTATCAATATTCTTCTCATACTAAATCCAGAACATTACACCAGCTACTAGAAAGAAAATTAATTCTATCCCAGCTGAGACCAGGACAGGCTTCCAAGGTGGCCGTTGCTTGGAGCCTGGCTGGGCACTGGTCTGCCTGGGGGAGGTGGTGAGTATTAATTGCTTTTGCTTTGCTTGGTTTTTTTTTTCCTCTCTTTTCTTCACCTGTAAGATTGTCTTTGCCTTAACCCATGAGTTTTCCCACTTTTGTGCTTCCTTTTTTTCCCCCCATCCTGCTGGCGTGGGGAGTGGGGGTGAGTGAGTGGCTCTATGGGTGTTTGGCTGCTGGCCTGGGTCAACACACCACGGTCCTTTTTGGAGCTCAGTGAGGGGCATGAGGGGGATCGAGATATAATGACAGATTTGATTGGAGTGTGCTAGACTGACCTTACTGCTGTTTAGCTGCTGCTTGGTAGGGCTTTGAAATGGCAGCTTCCAGCCTTTGCTGTTTGCTGTGTTCTTTTGCCTGGGAAACATGATAAAAGTGGTGCTTTGAGCCTAGTCTGGTGTTTGGCTTCTGCATTGCTGTCTTCCCAGTAGTCTGGGAACCATCCCCTGGAGACAAGCGGCAATTACACTTGACGCCTCTTCTCCTCTGGGATGGATCCTGCCAACCTTGTTGCAATGGCCCCTTGGTTTCTTGAACATCCTGGCGTGGTGTGTACTGTGAACCTGGTTTTGATTTTGACTGGTGTCTGTAGTGGTAATAATAGTGCTCTCCTGCCACCAGCGCCTCGCACACGCTGCCATCTTGTCAGACTCTGAATCCACCGATCCACATTCAGATCTTGGTGGATCCTCCGGTAACCACCTGGCTGGGGATGGCAGATAGGAATGTGCCCTGTGGCAGCTGGCTCCTGGGTGGCATGGCGTGTGGGAGAATTTGGGCAGGTGCCTCCAGCCATTTTCACCTCAGATGGCTTGGGATTTTTTGCAGGCATGTAATCCTGCTGAAATGGCAGACCACCTGAAGGGGGGATGCCTTGTCTCTGCCAAAGAGAGAGTGGCTTCCAGTGCTGTGTTGTGACCTGGCCTATGCTTACCAGGCCTGTCTATGTTCAGCACCCTCAAAGGAGCTGGAGGGTCCCCTGGATCTAAGGATAATACAAATGGACACCGTGGCTAAACCAGAGACTCGATGCAGGCATCTCCTGTTGAGGATGAAGTATCACCTGGAGGATGATCTGGTAGACTGCGGTGGCAAGTGGACCACCTTGTCTGTTATCTGAGGGAAGTGGTGGAGGTGACCAACAACCAGGTCTCCAGAGATCTGGAAGATGTCCAGTGCACCCGGACCACGTGGCAGAGGTTAGTATTGAACACAGTGGTGTTGTACAGCAGCGCCCGGATGATGGTGGGCTGGTCAGACCTCAAGGCACCGGCTGTGGAGGAAGAGAATCTCATCCTCCTCACTCCTACAGGCTGCTGTCTCAGCTGTGAAGGTTGCTGCCGCACAGAGTCAGCCTTTCCCAGCTCAGAGGAAAGGGACCTGCAGGCACACACCACATGCCACCCCCTGATTCCATCTGTGTGACCGTGGGGAGCATGTGAGGAAGTGGGTTGGTGTGCTGTCTTGGACCTAGATCCTGCATTTGTCAGTTGTGGGAAAGAACAGCTAAAAAGGGTCTATCCAGAAAGATTACTGCTCCGGGGGCTGTCGAGCAATTCCCCAGATGCAGTAGAAGGGCTGAGGATGCCTCTCCTCCTCCTGACCTTGAAGGGACATCTGGTCTGCTATGGCAGGAGTCAGATAATGAATGCTCCAACCAGGAGTAGAGGGGCCCTGTCTCTGGCTAGGCAGAGGAAAGGGACAATGGACTCAACTGGATCGTGTGGATTTGATGGCCCGGCACATCGGACCCATGGGAGCACGAGGATCTGGTGGACTCTGGTGCACAGTGTACCCCAATGCCATCAGGGTACAGGGGTGGAACCCGTCTGGATTTTGGGGGTGACTTCACCCTGTAGTAGTCCTATATAGCAGCGCCAAAGTCTGATGGAGTGTGGAGGCTGAAGGAGGACTGTCACGGTCTGAAGGAGGTCATGCTGCTGTGCTGGACATGCCATACTCCAGTGTGGGCAGGAGCCTGAGGCAAGGTGGTGTGGCACAACTGGTGCTGCCCATGCCTATTCCATCCCTTGGGCAGCAGAGTGCAGGGCCCAGGCTGCCTTCATGTGGAGGAGTGTTCCTGCACCTGGAGCTGACTACCCTGGGGTGGAAGGACAGCCCTGCCTTTTGCCATGGACTGATACAGGCAGCACTGGAACAGGGTGAATCCCCTGAACACCCGCCATGCACTGACAACATCTTTGTGTTGGGCAACACAGCGTAGAAAGTGTTTGA